TTTAGCGACACGTTTAAATTCGAAATATGTGCAATACTTATTAATATAATTATCGTGAAAAAGACTTACCCAGCGAAGCTGTCCGTTGCAACACCTCTAACAGCTCCTGGTGCGCCATGGTGCCTGGAACATACATGGTATTAGGAAAAAAAAAACCAAATTCCGAATAACGGATCGAACAGACATGGAGAACATTTGTAGAAAATTCTACATGAATCTATTCATATTTCACGTGCCCACATATTCCAACATCTGTAATTCGCGCCACCAGGCAACAAATCTTATAAAAACTTTAAAAAAACTTGCATTTACAAAACTCGCTTGCGTCGCTTGCTTTTTTTTCCTGTTTTTCTTCTTCAGCTTTTGCTTTTACCTCCTCAACTTCACACTTCTTTACCCAACATCAATTATCGAGGAAAAAAATCAGTTTTTGACAAACAGGTAACTCAAATTTGATACCTTGTCGCCTATGGCTTAAGTTCTATTTCCAGACTAAAAAGGTCGTCCCCTACCTAATTTCCAGTTTTTTCACCCTCATGTATCTTCCCTCCCTTCAACTTCCCCACCTCCCTGCCCTATCTTCGATGATCGAAGGGGCTCTTCGCAATGTCCTTCTACCAAAAAATTATGCCTCAGCCAAATGCCCCATGGTCAGAGTAACGTCCTGAAGCCCGAGAACAATCTTTTCGGTCAAAAAGTTAGCTCCCGGCCAGAAAAGCCTTTCTTTACCTAATTTTTACATGGCGGGTAGAAGGCTATTCCTACCTACATGCAAAGTTCGGTCTGTGCTTACTACAGCTAAGGGATGAAACACACAGACTGCATCGTAAAATGTCTTCTTATACATGATACTTAAAAAGTCCAATCCTTCTATTCTACTATTTCATACATTCAAAGCTGAAGGCCAGAACTGCCAGAAAATTGGTCCCAAATGAAAAGCAACGTTGGTCAAAACAACCATGAAATGAAGAAGAAAATAAACGTCGAAACGTCTTAACTCTCTCGTACTTATTTTTCCTATAACAGCTATATTTCTACACCTTGCATTACATAGTTCGTTCTATTCTTGCCCTATTTAAATTCTTAATATTACTTGTACGCTACAATCAGCTTAGCATGACTTTCGTCTATACCGTTGATGAATAATCGCTGGGGAACTGGTACCCGTTTCA